CCAGTGGATGCGATCTACAACCTCTGAATTTGCCTAGTAACGATGAATTCGTCGAGAAAATGTTGAGTTCTTGTCATCTAGATTCTAGAACACATCTTGGCACAGATGAGTGAATCTGTTCTAGAGTTACGTTGTCCTTGAAATCGAAAGATATTTGAAACCTAGCTAGGCCAAGGTAGAGCTAATTATGTGCATTTGTGTACTTCTATAAACATCCAGGCTGTAATAAGACATTCAAACCTGCTCATAGACTTGGATCATAGAGCCAGCAAGTTGATGGACTCGTCCAGCAGATCCCCACACTACATGTCTCTCCAGGCTTTGATGGAGCACAGGTCTCAAGTATGCACTGTAGATGGACTGGAGCTCATCCTGGTCAGCATAACTGAAATTACAGTAAGTGATCACTAAATTTTATTACATATTCTTGTACAGATAATGTATGAGTTCAGCTTGATAATAAGCTCACTAAACTATGAACATTCCTTAGTGTTTGATACAATTTTTTTGCTGCTCTCCTTGTATTTACTGCATGCAGTAATGATCAATTTATGCATGGAATTTAGAAAAATCAAGCCATTATAATGATTGTGGATATCTTAAATGTTTACCTGTTAATGTTTGGTGGATAATAGCTCTTGATGGCTAATGAAGCATTAAAAATTGAATTAAATGGAAACTCACAAATCGTAGCAGTTTTCCAGTATAACGGTCAAAGTAAATCAAGAAAATTTCATACAAGCAATCTAGGAATATTTAAAAACCATTTCATTAAAACAGACATGACTTACCCTAAACAACAAATGCGTACAATAGATGTAAATCTGGAAGTGAGCTGGTGGCGTCCTACAGTGTGTCCTGCGTTCATACTCGCAACAATTTGAACTCCTTCCAGACCGACCCATTCCAAGTTTGTGTCATAAAACCCATTATATGTCAACACCTGAACAATATAAAAGTTAAATGAAGCTGCAATGCCAGTTTATAAGTAAGATCAATCCCATATTTCCTTCACAAGAACACCCCTTAAAAATAGTAGATCAGTTCATTCCAGAGCACTGTCTATACATGCTAACCACTATCTATGGGTATTCATTCTAAAATGGATGGTTCTATTATTTTTAGGGGTATTCAAAGGTTAAAGAACAAATGGCAAATGTCAGTAAGTATATTTACAAAATACAGATAGTAATGATATGCTATTTTATTAAATGACGCAATGTTTCAGTAAGGTGAGTGGACCTGGAAAACACAAACTTTTTCAGAAACATGACCTCAAAATTCTACTATCCATGTGAGATCTATTAAGATTTAGTTGAAAGCGATTACAAATTATTAAGCTATGGATTGAATAGTTGAAAAAAGAATCAATGGGATTTCATGGGAAGTTATTTCACTTTCCACATCCACTAAACAAATCTAATGCTTTTCACATAAAGTAGAGAGTAGATAATGACCAATCAAATCTTATGATATATCTACCTTATTAAGATTAATAGGCAATACACTGATATTACAATACCTGTTGTAAGAAAGCAGTGAGTTGACTGGTTCCCCACTTATCAGGCTTTGGTAGGTTCAGATCTTTGAGGTAGAGGACAAGGGTTTCAGAGTCTTTTGGCCGGTAGACGCGGCCTGTGTTTGTGCTGATGACCATGCAAGTCTGCTGAAGCTTTTGAAGGATGTGGGTGGGTGAGGTCTGAGCACTGCAGTGAACTGTGGCAATCTGGACTGATCGCATCTGAGAGAAGCAGTGTTTCAGTACCATCCTTTTTTGATAAAGAAAATCAATATTCAATTAAAATATGTAATAATAATAATAGTGTAGTTTTATATAGTACACATATCCATCTCATGTAAGATGCTCAGGGCGCTTGATATGTGGACTAGGAACTCGATCAATGACTTTCTTTGCCCCTAAGGGTCCCTTCGTGTCTGTGCTACCCGGTTACATGGTACCAGCAACTCTAGTCTTCCACCACAGGGCTGTCTGTTCCACTACACCGGAGTATCCCCCAACTCGTCTCAAAGGATATACTGGGTTCTTTATAGTGCGCACGGGCCATTATATACACTGGGCCTACGGTTTATAGTCCTTATCCGAGAAGACTTGTTCTACCACCAGAACCAAAGGCGAGCGTGCCATTTGAACCAGTGCCAATATTATGGATAGCTTGCGGCGCCCTGCTAACCGCCCGGCCATTCGACTAATAATTTACCACTTGATATTCAATGTTGACATATTTCCATCTGGTTTTAAAGTAAAAACAATGTTCTATGAGCATTTTTGATACTTCTAAGGTAAACCACACAATGCTGAGGCTTAGTACGATGGGCTAACAGCTCAATACGTTATGTTCAGTAATAAATATGGGCCTCACCTTTACCTAAGGTACTAATACATGCCTGATTTTTTCATTTTGTTTGCCATTTTTTTTTATTGAGATTTGTTATTGCTAATTGATGATTGAGTTGAATCAGTTTGATTTTTTATTTATTTATTTTTTTTTTGTAGCTAATTCAATGGTTGTGCTTCCATGCTGTATGCATTGCATTGCACTCACCCTTTTCCACAACCATCCGGGCCGACCAGTATGAATGGTTGACGGTTTTCTGGTTTCAACCATGGTGCAAGGTAATCAAAGCAACGCTGAACGCACGGCGTACTGATCACAGGTAGAGATTCCGACGATGAAAAATCATCTGCATTCAGATTTTCAGAAACCTGACGAAAATTTGAATATAAAAAAATGATCTTTTGCAGTAAACTTTTAAAATACTTGTGCTTTCATTTTAATCAATGAGACTTTTTTTAGATTTAAATAAAATGTTGAACTAATTTTAAATTGTTTTTTTATACTAATGTATACCTGCAACTCATATGACATCAAGCTCTCTGTGCGTTCATCATAGTACGTATCAAGGGGTCTTCTGGGGTCAGGGGGCATCTCTCGTGTCCAGTTGAAAACCTGAAAGGGGTATGAAATGAGTCGAAATAAAGTTGAAATAATCAAAAGACAGGTATAGATATAGCATACCATAAATCAGCTTTGTACTAAAAAAATGGCAGTCATAGTGTAAACCAAAAAAAATTAATCTGATATACTTAGTTTTTTTTTTCATAAATGTGCCACTTTGATATAAAGTTTTGTTCAATATAATTAAAGTGATTATAATAATGAATTTGGAAGAATAAACGATGATAAAAAAACTATAAAATTTTTAAGTATTCTATCAAAAACCAACTTACTTCTTTAGCAAATTCCTCACGAGTAGCTTCGTTCAAGTTACTTCCCAGACCTCTAATGAGAGACACGGTAAACTGGGGCTTACTAGCCACCCCCCACAGGTGGGACAGACCATTCCATATTACCCCCAGTTTACTGGTCTCAACCACAAAGTCATTCTTTGCTAATACCCACTGCAGACCACGGAAGAAATGATCCTCTATCCAGCCTTCTAGTTGGTTCCGGTTTTCTTCTGGGTTTTTCTTCATCCAAGACTTCACCAACTTCTTATCATCGACATCTTCATCACTGAATAGAATACAAATTTTTAATAATTTCTGTAAAGAGATATTCTCTATAGATCCTGTAGTAAGTAATGCTCCACATTTTTATAAAAATTTTAAATGATGCAATTTGAAAACCTGGGTCTTATTTTTTTCACTATCTTTTTATTTAAGGAACAGCACTAGTCCTTAAAAAAATAACATGAAATAAAAATATTTCCCTCTTATACACATCTAGATGTGTATAAGAGACAGCCATTAGGGTGTAATATGACATCATCATGTCAACAGTATATAATGGTGGGATAGCATTATCATGTACATATATGGGCAAAACAAACAAATTTGTCATATAAAATTGAATAGTTTGGACATGCCTTTACCTCAGAAATATCATACCCATCCTAGAGATGGTAGCAGGGGAGGCACAGCTAAGGTCATGTGTCTCAAATAAGAAGTTGACGTTGGGACCGAACTGGATACGTTCTCCCGAAGGCATCGTCAACAGTCGATTATCATCAAGGACCGAATTCAATGACTCAATCCATTCAGGGTCGATATCGCCATCACAGATTATCCATGACTGAACCTCTGTAGAAAAAAACAACAGATGTAAAAAATATTTAACAAAAACATGTGACATGCCTCTAATATGGTCATGATGACATCACATCATGACCATATATAGGCACATCATGACCATATATAGGCACATCGTGACCATATATAGGCACATCGTGACTATATATGGGCATATATCAGATATATCTGATGAAGTAGAGCACTGACTGCTAATGAGATGCAGATAATAAAAATAAGTTTTTGCTTTGAAAATCCTTCATTGATTGACCAGATAATTAAAGGGTGAGGGTACGCAAAGAATCTGTCAATTATTATTACCAATAATAGACAGATAAAATATGTTGTTTTAATTTCTTATTAAAGCCAATAACCTAAAGCTACTTAAATATAAAGTTAAAAACATTATTTAAAAATTAGTTGTTTTTTTTAAATTATAACACTGTAAAATCGTTTCATACCTTGAGGCTCCCTGACCACTTGTCTAGCACTGCTGGTCAGTACCCCATCTGACCATTCTCTGGTGTCCATATCAATGTGTCCGAGTAGCTACAAGAAATAATATAAAAATATTAGGATAATAATTATACTTTTATTATTTATTTAATATTTAACAGGTATAATAATGATATATTAAGGATGTGATGAATGTCTCTTGTCCATTGTGCTACTACTATACATCAAGCAATTATTTATTAATTATTTGTTATCTCATAACCATTCTGCCTCTCTAGGCCTTCAATTCCTACGACAGTCTATAGGGTTCATTCGTGATAACCAGCCCCACAGAGTGAGATTTGTTAGGTTTGCTGAGTGTGTTCATAGCTTAGCCAAGCAAAGAAATATGCCATTGCGATGTACTGTAGTAAAATCACCCCAGCTTTGAACTTTTTGCACACAAGACGTAAGAAAACAGAGGCACTATATCAAATTATTGATCAGTCGGGGATAGGAAAATTCAGTGCAACTGAAAAATGATGACGTCAACACTGACATAAAATTTGCATTATTTACTTTGATTAGTGTTACTATTGGTTTAATTGCATTTGAAAGTTTAAAGCCTTAATCTAATGGCCTTATTCTACAGTACTGTTATATGCGGGATACTTCATACTGCACACTATATCTACTGGATTGTGACTCATTTTATTGTAAGTATTTAGGCTACACTATCATTAACACACCTGGGTTCTTGGGATAGCTTTGGGATTCATCGTATACTGTTTCACCTGCTGCCCAATCTTGCCTAGAGCAGAACGCAACATCTTCCATGTGGTAGACTTCCCAGACCCACTGGGACCAACCACCACAACTCCTGTCCTCTGGCGTAGCTGTTCGTACAGCTCCATCGCTTTCTTTATCTGTGAAAAGAATTGGGTTATACAGAAAAAAACATAAGCAATTTTCCCTTGATTCATAAAAAACCTACAAAAATTAGTATAATAATTAACATTTTTAAATACTGAACTGTAATCTCCTTCAATATCACTGACTCGCAGATTAAAGTTGAAATTGAATGACTGTTGTTAAAAACCAAGGTTGTATGCTAATACTTTTAGGAAACTTATTCAAAAATTATATACATCATTGACTTGTTTTCATTTGAATACAATGCTTTTGGAGTGATGCTAAGTTTAGTAGAGTAGTGTAATATTCCTATCTTTTAATATCAGGATCCTGGGTTCTAATCTTCTGATACACCATTCCCTAAGCCTCATAAAGGATACTTAATGATGTATGCAAAACAGAAATCAAAAAGAAAAAAGTTATTATGGTACAACCTTAATAAACATCAGTAAAAATATTAGTATTTTACTGACAGAGGCCATTTACCTGTGTCTCCATGACAACCAGATTACTTTCTGCACAGACCTCTTTGAGAGCATTTGAGAGTTTTTCAAATTCTATGTCCTTAAGTTCAACTCCTGGGAAGACGTCCCTAACCAGTGCATCAAATCGTTTAGCATCGGAGAATGTCAGCTTGGAGAGTGTGTTCACCCTCAAGGCCTGCACTACTAGCTTACTCTCTTCGATTTTTACAGGACCTGAGCAAAAAATTTGATCAAAATTATCAGTAAACAATAGTTTTTGCACCCATGTACTCTAGGTTTGAAAGACAAACATACATGAAGTATTAATAGCAAGATATAAACGTTCCTTGAATATATTTTTAAGTCATGTGACTTACCTTTATCTTCTGCTTCATTGGCCTGTTGCCTAGCTTGTTGCAGCCTATTACCACAGCCTCGTAGCACAGTCTTCAAGGCTCTTAGTCCCCAATCATAGTGCTGCTGGGGGGTTAAAAGCTCCCTAACAGATAGAATTTTTGTGGGTGTTTAAAGAAGCTTTTAATTTATTAACAAAAATATAATTATATTTTTGCATTATTATTATTATTTATTAATTATAATCATTGTGTCATAAATTTCATCTCTTTCATCATCATTCTTCCTCATTGTTTTCATGATCATCACCTTCATTATGCTGATAATCTTTAAAATCATCATGTTAATCATGTCATCATGATCATATTAAGGTAATTATTAACATAATTATTGTTACCTCTGTCTTTAACTACCAACTTACTTGGAGAGGTTAAAAATGGCCACAAGTTTTCTGCCTAGTTCCTTTCCTTCTTTGAAACCCTCCGAAAAGAGAATGACCTCTGCAATCAGCTCAATGTCAGGCCGTGACATTGCCACCGGTCTGAATAGCTGCTTCAAGTTATCAGGAAGTTTCTGACGACCACCGTAACCTTTTCCAGCCGGGTTTAAAGTGATGAATATACCAGAATTGGGGTCAATATCAATCTGAAAATTTACAGAGAGGGCAGTTTGTAATCAGAAACTCATACTATATAGTACCATTTACATAAGATGCAAGATTCCTTGTGTTTGTATCTGAAGAACTGTAATGCAAGTTTACGTCTTTTAGAAGAGATCTTAAAAGCTCTGTCCTAAAACAAACACTGTCGTATGCACAAATATACAGTAATCATGATGTGCCTAAAATGTTATATGATGACAGTAGTTTTTGTCAATAAAATTTAATAATCTGAAAAGGGCTTAAGCCATTGACTCCATGTGCAAGTAGCGGCGCTGGTGGGGTGGGACCACAATTCGTCGGGGATAAAAAAAAATTCAAAAAAAATTATATGTATTTTGTACATTTTAATAGAAAATTGATTAAACAAGCCCTTGAGAAACCCCTAAATTTTCATATTTTCGGGGTGCTACATACCCTGGACCACTTTCGAAACGTTTTTAGCGACGTTCAACCACGCCCACTTTTTTCTCGTCAGGGACATAAGCCCTCCCATCTGGGACCTGGGACACCCCTGGGAGAAATCCTGGCGCCGCCACTACCATGTGCTATATGGCTCACATGCATGTTAAAGAAAGTACACTCTTTGGAAACGATCATGAAATTGGCTCTTAGTGTACTATTCAATTTAAAATCACATGCACTTTCGTGAAATACCCTTGGTGTGGTTTATACAGAATAAATGTAAAGATTACTGAAATTCTACCTAGGAGTTTGTAGATTAGTTTCATATACTGTCATTCATGTAGTGCCATATGTGTATTTTCGCGTGTAATGTGCACGTAATGAAAACAAACAAATGAGTACTTACTGTTCTATCAGGAAGTTCACAATTTGGTTTCCTGTTTTTCATTGTTGAGTTTGCAGGTTAGATTTATGTACTGTCATAGGTAGTGCCATATGTGTATTTTCGCGTGTAATGTGCACGTAATGAAAGCAAACAAATGAGTACTTACTGTTCTATCAGGAAGTTCACAATTTGGTTTCCTGTTTTTTATTGTTGAGTTTGCAGGTTAGTTTTATGTACTGTCATAGGTAGTGCCATATGTGTATGTTCATGTGTAATGTACATGTAATGAACAAACAAGTGGGTACTTACAGTTCTATCAAGAAGTTCACAAGTTGGTTTCCTGCTTTTCATTGTTGCTTGGATTGTTTGGATCTGCATTGAAACAGCTGACAACACAGCCTCCTCCAACCGGTTGAACTCATCAAAACAACCCCAAGCTCCACACTTTACTAAGCCAATGAAGATCCTTCCCATTGACTTCACATCAATACCCTAGATAGGTAAAACAGATATGACTGATTAATATGCAATTTTACAACATACAAAATATTTTAACCCTTTCCAGTCGTATGGCATCACGATGACGCCCTCTTTCACCATACTTTATAGCGAGGGGCGTCGTACATATGCCTGTATAGATTTCATAATTTCTTTTATAGCTAGGCTGCCCTCTATAGGATTGTTTGAGAGTAACGTAGGAGTATTTCTGTAGGGGGCGTCCTGTATTTAGACCAAATAAAATGCCTGTGCCCAGTAAAAACCAAACATTTAGTGTAGATGATGTAATTTCTCAGTTTTGGTACAGCCTCAGGCAATGGTAATGGGGCAGACTGGAGGGTTAAATTAAACAGTTATTTTTAATATTATGTTCACAGTTCTTGCTTATTTATAGAGATATTAAAGAGATTTTAAGCAACACAAATTAGAAATGTTTAATGGGCCCTAAGGACACATGGCAGTGCAGTGCCAGTAAAACCATGTAAAATGTTCCCTTAGTTTGTCAAATTCCCATGTGATGGGTTTCAAGAAGCCAAGCTATCAGACTCTCATTAAAACCAGAATATTTTTACAAGATTTTTTTAAAAATTTTATCAGAAACAAAACAGATCTCTTCTAAAATTAAGAAATTCTTTTATTACTTCTAAAGACTTGTCCGGACTATCAATCCTTATCATATATGGTCATGATGTGATGTCATCATGACCATATTGAGGCATGTCACATGTTTTTGTCAAATTTGATAGCTATGACAGGGCTTTAGCTAAATTAACATTACTTACCTCATCACAGTTGAAAACAAGCACTTGGCGTCCAAACAGTCCTCCAAGAGCCTTGACTGACTCGGTCTTTCCGGTTCCAGCAGGTCCGTACGGATTACCTCCCATTCCCATGTACATTCCTTGTGTGAGAGTGAGGTAGCACTTGTCAGTGAGAGGTGTGTGCACAAGTTTGGCTGCATTACCTATAATAAAGAATTTTTTTTAAAATATTTTTTTGTTTTTTAATGAATTTCTAAAAATTGCTATTTTCCCTTATTTTTGGCACCTGGGGGTTCCATGCCCTACTGAACCCCAGCTGCTTGAGTAACAGAGTCTGTTGTATCCCCATGTATTGTCATGATGTGCCTATATATGTTCATGATTTCAATATTTAGGCATCACGTGTTTCTGTCAAATGAACTTCGATAACCTGGACAGGGATTTAGTACATATCTTAATTTTCATTCATATCACCAATGTTTGCAGTGCCAGAATGGAAAAAAGAATAAAAATAAGAAAATACTTTTCCAGCTGTTCCTGTTTGACAACCAAAAAGAAGCAACTGTAATAATCACAATGGTAATAGTACAAAACAAACAGTAAGTACACTTAAAGTTATAGACTTCATCTTCAAATTTCCTCATTTTGTCCATCCCTCAATGGAATACTCAAGAATGCCCCCTTGGTGACATAATTGGTCACAAAAAAAATATATAAAACTGTAGAACTATAAGTATCGTAAACAATAGCTTTGTAAATGCTGCTTTAACTTGGTTGCATTAAAGGTATACCTATACCAGTACTTTGCATTCGTTATCATTATCCTGCCTTTCTACTAGTTGAATAACTCCCTGAATAGCGGAGTACCATATGAATAAAAATTTCGAAATTAAAGAGAGCAATTCATTAGGCTAAAAATATACAATTTTGTCGGAGCTTGACCCAGTGGCGTATCTAGAAGTCTTGAAATGGGGTCCTGATGGGTGGGGGCGTGAAAGTGAGTGGGGGAGGGCTCGATTATCAGTTGGGAGGTACTAATTTGCAACATAAGGTGATAACTACCATGATTCTTTTTAGGGGGTGCGACTGGGGGACGTGAGTAATTTTTGGGGGAGTGTGCCCTCTGCGCACCCCGATAAATACACTACTGGCTTGACTACAATCTGAATACGAATACATTATGCAAGATTATAATAGGAAGGGAATACAGTAGGTCTATGTTTGACAGCCTGCTTCATCTCATGAACCATGTGCTCATCATGAATATGTAGAATAGATTAGAAACATAGTCCAATTAAAAAAAACAGAAAGTAGTTTAATATTAAAAGTGACTAATTTAGTGATAAATATTGAATAAAGGCAGAAAGATGAGTTTCTAGTCTAATTTATCAGTCTTTTCCTTCAAAGGAAAAAAATTAACAACCAAAATAATACAATCTCCAATTTTTTTTAATGGAAGGAATAATTTTCTATAGCATTAAGCAACAAATAATAATGACATCTAATTACAAAGTTAAAAATAATGGGTTATAAACTGAATAAATAGATTTTTGAACTTCACAGGTTGAAACATATTCACATGACTGATTCATTAATTCATGCTTGAATGCACAATTAGAACGAATCTCAGCTGTTAAGATTCATTGAATTACAATATAAATACTGTACAGTATACAAAAAAGAACTTCACTGTTCGTTCATCAACAATGTACAACATACACAATATATTCATTGCAGGTGGGAAAAACCAGAAATGTTAGTGAAGACATTTTAGTGGATACGACTCTACACATCAGCTTGAGATTCAACCGAAAACATTTGGTTCATTGTAAAGTAAATTAAATATTAATTAAAATTAAAATATGAATTGGAAGCAATATATCAAAAAAATTCTTAGTTATCAGAGGCTTATGCAACACAGAAAAATAGGATCTAAAAATAGGAAGAAAAAATTTCTGTTGGTTAGATCAACTTAACACAAATACTATAAGTAGTACATTCATCTGATGAACTCCATGGTCAAAAGCTTGTGGAAAAATATGTTAGTCTGATAGTGCTGTTTGTCTTTCATTTACTGTTATCATCTAGACTAACAATTTTTTTTCTTTGTTTTTGTTTTCTATTATATCATATCAAAAACATTGCATACAGAAAAGGTTTCAAACATAGCATTATAAAACTATATATGAAATTATAATTAATTAAATATAAATAAATGTACCATGAGAAAATTCATTCCATAAAAAAAGGAAAATTCACATTCTAAAAGTGACAAGTAAGTTATAATAAATGTCAATTCTCACAATAGGCTTATTAATCTTTTTCTTTACCAACAATTTTTTTTTTAAGTTACAGTATGCCACAATACTACAATGATGTATTTTAATTGATACGTCACCCACATACATCTACATTTATCAGCATCTCTATGATTCAAAACAATTCTCAAAATAAACCAGGTATTTTGTAAAATAGTAAAGTGGCAGTACTGTATTTGTATGATTATTCCAAACCTTACTATTAAATTTTATAATTATTCAAAACCTTACTATTAAATTTTCTCCAAAAAAAAAAAAAAAAAAAATTTAGTCTAAATGGTAACAGTAAATTGAAGACAAACAGCACTATCAGACTAACATATTTTTCCTATTTACTGTAGACTAACACGGCTACCCTATCTACTTTCTGATAACACAAATACTGTACTAAGTATGTAATTAAAGGTGGGAAAAACCAGATATACCAGTGAAGACATTTCTGCAGATACTACGTGTATAACACATTAGCTTGAGTTTCAACAGAGGAAATTTGGCTCATTGTACGTAAATCAAAATAATTAATTGTTGAATTAGAAATTATCAATAGGTCTACTGAGTCTACTATAAGAATACTGGTAAATGACATTTTTGCAATATTACAGTACTACACATTTCAGATTCAACCAATGAAAACTTGGTTCATTAAAATATTAATTGTTGAAAAGTTGAATTTGAAATTATCAATAGATGTAGTGACTCAGCTATAAGGAGAACTTCTTTAGTTATCTGAGGCTTACGCAACACAATACAAAAATTCCCAGGATCTAAATATAGAAAAAGAATTTTGTTGCTCGGTAGACTTTACTTTACATCACTCAAAGGTGGGAAAAACCTGAATTATTAGTTGCAACATTTCCGCAGATACTACATGTACCATACATTAGCTTGAGATTCAACCGAGAAAATTTAGTCATTGAAAGTATTAAATATAAATTGTTGAATAGTTGAATTAGATATTATCAACAGGTCTTCTGCGTCTCCTATAAGAATAAGCAACTGGTAAATATTAACACTGTAAGCGATAAATCAAATATTTATTCTTATACAACACAAAAAATAGGATCTAAAAATAGGGGAAAAAAAGAATCTTGCTGTTGTTATGGTAATTGTGATTTACATCACAATTACCATACACAGTACATAATCAAAGGTGGGAAAAACCAGAAATATTAGTAAAGACTTTTCGACAGATACTACATGTACTACAAATTAGCTTGAGATTCAACCAAGAAAATTTGGTTCAGTGTAAGTACTACATTAAAATATTAATTGTTAAATAGCTGAATTATAAATTACAAATAATGAAAGCGATAAATCAAAAACTTCTTTAGTAATCAGAAGCTTATGCAACACAAAAATAGGATCTAAAAATAGGAATGAATCTCTCTGTACTACACATTAGCTTGAGATTTTACAGAGGAAATTTGGCTCATTGTACAAATTAAGATTTGATTCTGAATGGTTCGTTTAAGAAATAGCATTTGTAAACATAAAACTGTGATAGTTTTGTTATCTGAGGCTTACAACAAATAAAATTCCAAGACCTAAAAATGGGTGCAAGAGGAGACTAAATTCAGTGGATAGCTGGCTCTGATTTCACTAACTTAGCCATCAAGCACTTCCAGCTCCCTTAAAGTCAATACCCACACAACTGCAGCCATAATATTGGCGGTGGTTTGATTGGCACGCTCGCCTATGTTTCTGGTGGTAGAAGAAGTTTTCTCGGATAAGGACTGTAAACTATAAAGAACACACTATCATTCGAGATGAGCAAGAGAATACTCCGGTGTACTGGTACAAATGGCCCCTGTTGTGGACGACGAGAGTTGCACTGGGTTATAGGGTAGCAAGACACGAAGGGACCCTTAGGGGAGAAGATAGTCATTGATCAAGTTCCTGTGCACACATCCAAGCGCTTTGTATCCATTGGCAAAAATCACTATATAAATTTCTATATTTTACATTTTAAACACCACTGACAATGAAGCATTTTAATGGATACTGTTGGCATACTGGCGTAGGCAATCCTTTTACACAATTAGGCATTACTCAATATTATGACTATATAAACTGCAATATTTAGTTAGTATGATACAGAAACATACAAACATACTATTTTCTAAAATTTTGCACATTGTCTGTCTGAAAGATGCTTTTAGAGTAATTTTGATAAAAAAAAAAACCCCAAAAAAACCAGATATTTCAATTTTTAAAAAGATTAATCATTTTACTTTATAATTTATTCACAGGTCTATTTAAAGATGGCTACCAGGGAGTTGGATCAGTTTCTTGAAGATATAGATGAGAAGGTACTGGAATGTACCATTTGCTTTAACAGACTTCAAAATCCTAAATCCCTCAACTGCCCTCATACTTTCTGTTTGGCCTGTCTGGAGGACTGGGTTAAGGAGAATGGTAAGCTGACTTGTCCAACTTGCAAAAAATCACAACAGATCCCAAAGGGTGGGCTTCAAAAACTTGCTCCAAACATCATTTTGAATAATTTATTAGAAACTATGGAACGATATGAGAAAAGATATCAGATGAAATGTGTATGTGAAAAACAAGCAAAATACTACTGCCAAGATTGCGAACATTACTTGTGCATTTCCTGTAGCGATCATCATAAAATGTTACCAGTAACGGAATATCACAACCTACATTCAGTGAAATTAATGACTCGTCAAGAATTTGCTTTGCTACATCCTCGGTTGTGTAAGGATCACAAGGAACATTTGGAGTTTTACTGCACAAATTGCAGAATTCCAATATGCGCGAGATGTATGCCTATGCACCGCAAGGAATGTGGAGGGATACAAAAACCAATTAAAATTTCAGAAGCATTTCAAAATTTCAAAGAAACTGCTACAGAATTGAAAAAAGAAGCGGATGATTTTAAAGACAATTTACAAATGGGTCTTGAAGAAGTTCGTAAAAATTCTAAAAAATTAGAACAAAGTAAAGCCACCAGTTTGAGGGATATTGATAACCATGTGCAACAACTCAGAAAAAAAATTACGGAGGATGAAAATAAAATGATAAGAAACGTAGAAACAATGTACAGAAAGAAGAAAGAAATAAGTGAGATTCAAATTAATGGATTGAGCACAACTATATCTGATGTAAATACAAAACTGAAAGTTCTTAATCAGTTATTGAAGAGTGATGAAGCTACAGCAATGCAGTCATGTGATATAGTTACAGAACTGAAAGATACACTTAGGGAACAGCCACCTAAGACAAAGCCAAATGATAACGGAAAAATTGTCTTTTTAAAACGAACGAGTTTATTACAAGAATATAACATAGGACACGTAACCCAAGAAATGGCAGCATGTCTACGATTAATGCAAGGAAACAGTGTGACCCAAGGTCAACAAATTGTTGTTAAAGTAAACAAAACAAGTGAATTTGAAATAGACGCAAGTAAACTGAAGGCGACATGGACTCAGCCTACAGGAGAAACCGACATCACTCCAGTTAAAGAAGATAACAATGGAAATTACTTTGTGACAAGAAAATGCACAAGTCCAGGTGTTTGTAGTCTAGATGTGAGTATTGATGATGAACCAATCAAACAATCACCAGTGAAAATAAAAGTAGAGAGGAAAGGATTAGTAAATACAATTCAAATACGACTTAAACATGGTAATGTTAGTGATGTAGTTAAGTATGAATATGATTGCTTGCTGATTTCAAGTTTGACAAATGAATTACACAAGTACAAGCAATCAGGTGAATATGTTACTAAGGTTAAACTTCCTAAAGGCGTGGAAGTTAACAGAATGTATGTAATGAAGAATGGTGATATAGCATTTAGTGATAAGGGTAATAAATGCATTGCAATGATGCAGAGAGAAATAAGTGGTTTTGCAATGATGCAGACAGAAAAAGCTGGTCATGTGGTGGGCGAACCAATTGGGCAGGGAGCCTTAAGTGATCCACAGGGTATCCATGTGGATGAGTCATCAAATATTGTGTATGTAGCAGATATGGGTAAGAATAGCTGTGTGTTTATGTTTAAAATTGATAGTGGCCAGCAGATGAGGAGGATATGGTCACACAGAAAAAGCATTGATGTTACCTTTACAAGGGATGGGAATCTAATATTGTTGAATAACATCAGCAATCCATCTCAGAACATATTTGGTATTTTCAGTAAATCTCCGAAGTTACGGTACAAACCTGTATTAAAACTATTTGATAAGGAAGGAGAGTTTCTGAAAGGCCTTGGTATAGGTCTTGATAGTACTTTGATGAATTCACAAGGAGTTGTAGTTGATGAAGATGGCAACATCATTATATCAAGTGAACACAAACTGCAGCTATTCAGTAATAAGGGATACTTCATTGAAAGACTTGATAAAGAAGAAGATGAAATCCTCAATCCACTTGGATTATCCATAATTTCATATCATCCACGGAGATTTGCAGTAGCAGACAAGGGAAACAATACAGTCAAAATATTCAATTATTAACTAATAGCTTATGGCAGCTGTTGCTCACCTTTCTTTATAGAAATAATGATAAATTAACTTTCTATAAAAGTGTGGCCAGTTTATCAAATATTGTAATAAATGGTGTAGATTTATATAGCGCCAAATCCATCTAACATAAGACACTCAGGGCACTTAATATGTGGACTAGAAACTCAATCATAGACATTCTTCATCCCTAAGGGTCCCTTTGTGTCTGTGCTACCCAGTTCCCCGGTACCAGCAACTCTTGTCGTCCACCACAGGGGCTGTCTGTTCCAGTACACCGGGGTATCCCCCTACTCGTTTCGAAGGATGTACTGGGTTCTTTATAGTGCACACGAGCCATTGTATACACTGGGCCTACGGTTTATAGTCCTTATCCGAGAAGACTTGTTCTACCACCAGAACCATGCGAACGTGCCGTTTGAACCAGCGCCGATATTATGGCTAGCTTGCGGCACCCCTGCTAACCGCTCGGCCATTTGACTTGCTAATTGTATTAATATTGGTCATTTTATAATAGAGTAGTAGAAGCCCTGTTAAGGGGAAACCACTACCCCTTAATAGGGATTCTTAGCATGTAGTAGCCAAATGACCTAAGAAAATTAAGTCACAATCAGGGGATTAGCCAGAAAAATGAAATAAGCCATCCAAAATGGAAGCCAGTGGGCATGGCACTGAGCCGATGGACGGGCCACATCCATCTTTGGGAATCCTCACTGAAAACAATGTACATTCAATGAATAAATGTTTGATGATTTAGCTTTAGTTTAATGAAACATTCGATAGATTTGAATAATATAAAGAATTTGCTAAAGGTAGACCAGGCCTAATTAGTCTAGGCCGAACTGATTAGGCCAAGCCGTCACGGTTAAAGTAAAAATAATTGTAGGATGGCTCGCTGGTTAAGCCTATGGTCACAATAGAACTAAACTGCTGTAATTTGCATCAATAATTTTAAATGCAAATATAAAAAAAAATCCACGATACAAAATCAACATTCAATGTAATTATACCAGTAGAACTAAAAGTATATAATTGCTTCAGAATTTAATATCCATATATGATTACTTCTTTTTTTATTTTAACAATATTGAGCTTTCTTTTGTATGCACAACATAGGGTTAGGATGCATAGAGTAAAATGATTCAGAACAAAGGTGCAGGTTATAAATTAGAATTTCATGAACACCAAAAGAGGGCTAAATTTGGTTAGTTTGAACAAAGTGGCGTAACAGTATGGTCATTTAAATATTCATTCCATCAAATTCACATTGGATATATAAGGCCCAAATGGAATGTATGAAAACTTTACACCTGTAGGCCTAATACTGATGTCCATTTAAAGGATCACGATTTTTAAAATCTGGATTGATATTGATAGCAAAACTCAGAAAAAAGAGAAACCATTGTGATTCAATATTTTGATACGATTGAAATTAAGTTTACAGCTCAAAAATTGTAAAAAATATATAATTTCAATGAAATATAATAATTTTGTGTCTATTGTATTTATTGCAAGATAATAGAAAAAATTAGTGTCCACAGGAGTAAAAAATGTTGTCCACTTAATAGGAGTAAAAAATGTTTTACATTGAGAGTGTCCTCGTTCCCTTAAAAGGGGCTGGCTGTATTGTTAAAACATTTCACAGAAAAGTCTCTCCTTAATAGGGGTGCCACCTGAATAAGGGTGTTCCAGATGAGGGGTTCTACTTTAGTAGAACGTTGGAGAACCTGCTGTAGAAAACATAATCAACTACTTGGTATAGAAAATATTGGTAATTTTTAATTTAATTTAGTAGTTAAACATGATGATACCCATTGTACATAGAAATGAATATGTATTTAGGAACATAAAGTTGGTGGTTGGTAGTTTTTCTAATCATAAATGTTAACTGAGAATGATGAATGCCAACTAAAACTAACTTGTTGAATAGTTTCATCTGGTTTAAAAATATCTGTTATGGTAATAATAACACAATGCACGATGTTGAATGTACAGTACTCACTATAAAATTATTTCTTCCGTCCCCCGGATTTCTTCAGTATAAGTGATGTTATTGTGTACTGTTGGTTTAATCTAGTGTGTACATCCAACATCGTACATTGTATTATTATTATTCTATGTAAGGGCTGAAATGGCTAATTACAAGATGTTTCCATAACCATATGTCGTATATGGCCTTAACAGCAATAAATAGGTTGATGCAACAGATGCAACATATATAACATATATAAATGTACCTGTAATATTGTAAATTGAATTACGCAAGTATGTACATTTTATTGTGGTTTAGAAAAAAGAAATTTGATTTAAAATATTACTTAGATTAATATGAAACCGAAACTAATTTTGGTTTTTGAATAACCTACAAAAATTTTGTGAATGGTAATTTGTCTGTCATTTCTGTAAATATATACACACAAAAAGCCAAGATTTCCGATGGTGGGCCAACTGTGAAATCATATGTGTACTTCATAATTTCAAAGTGTATGCCTTTCAAATACTGTATATTTAACTTTTGTATTATAACATGTCTTGTTATCTTTTACTCATGAATGGTTTTGTAAACCGAAGTCAAACACTTCACAATACTCCACAAAGTAATATTGTAAATTTAAATTCTTTTTAAACTACAAAATAAAGGAAATGAGTCTTTAATATATGAATAAAACTAACTTTATTTGCTGTGTTTTGTACTTTAAAGCATAGACCAAGGTATAGATTTTCTTTTTCATGTTACGTTATTTGAATCAATGAACTAAGGACAAAAGAAATCTTACAATACAAGACTTAGGTTTAGAAAATGTTAGCAAGTTGGTTTAAAAAAATGGTTGGTAGATGTGTTGTATAAACAAGTTAGCTTTTTGTTGAATGAAATTTGGTTGTACAAATGGTAATATTTTATAACATTGCAAGTGCAAGTATTTCCTACAACCAAAGTTTTTGTTGTGTTTAATGTTAGCAAACAACAATGACAAACCTCTGAAACTACTTAATTTCTGAATGTTCATTAAAATTTAAAATAGTGGTGGAAACTTAGTGGTATCTTTAAAATTATTTTGTCTTTTCCATGAATGAAACTTCAAAGATGTATGCACAATATAAATGTACTGGTTTGGCAATAGTCTTGTTATTAGGGACTTTTTTGGGCGGACGATGTAAACGTTAACTAAAACTTATTACCCAACATGCATTTTGGCAGCCAGTGGCGTATCTAGAAGTCTGGAAATGGGAGATGCTGATGGGGGGACGGTAAAGTGTGGGGCTCAATGATTGGTTGGGGAGGGGGTGTCAATTCGCAAAATAAGGTGATTTTAGGTGATTTTTAACTACTTAAACATGATATTTGTGGGGGGAAACTGGTGGGCGCAAATCATTTTTGGAGCCATGTGCAGCACCCTGTGCACCCCCAACAGAAATTAAAACTTCCAGTTTTTATAAGAACACAAGGGGAGGGAGAAGGTGTGTGTGGTTTTCCTGTCCTCTGTCAGAAATTGGAAGACCCCTGTTAGGAGTGGTTAGATTCCCCGCCCTAGAATTTACATATTGGCGCCACCACAATAAGCCAATATAATCTGTGGGTGCTACTATTAAGGTAAATTTCAGAAAATCATGTAAGCATTTTTGAGTGTTTGAACAAGTATAGCTAATTTTTTTTTTTTTTCAATTTCTGTTTCACCTCGCTAGCTAGTGTTGTTTGTTCCAGGTTAGGAAGCACCTGATCAGAGAAAAGATCAAGACTTAACCGATGCTAACTGGAGTACATAAACACAGATCTCTGGTTGGCGGTGATGGTGGTGTAACCCCATACTTCGGTTTGGGTGCTAGCTTGGTGTTTATTGTTTTTTATTTTTGTTTTTTTTCCGGCTTTTTTCTTTGTGTTCTTGGTCCTTCAATATTGTCTAGCACATAGAGACCTCGTTTATTTGCACTGTATAAATCCATCTATTATTATTATTATCATTATTCAGGAAGCTGGGTCAAATGGTAGCTGACCTTCCAAACTTCATTGAAAGCATTTATGATTCTAGAGGGCAGGCTTTAAAAATTCTCTCCAAATATATGTAAACAATGATCTGTGTTAAATGATTTGATGAAATGTATTTTGAAGCATTTTTCTGCTTATCCTAGAAGGTCAGCTGATATCTCCCCCCCCCCACACATCCAAAATGAGGACAGTGAGTATCAGACAGCCAGGATTTACATTAATTAACTAACACAAAGCAAAACTGCTATGACATCACTTATGAAATCAAACTTTGTGAAAAGGAAGTTTTAATAGCATGGTCAGATATCCGCCTATTGTTCCAAGCTAAATCAGCCAAGGATGTACTCATTTGCATATAATGGGATAGAGTACAGTTATTTGTTTATATGAAGACATTATTTAAATGTTTTCACTGATCGCGTTAAGGAATAATTGTAAATTTCAATTCACACGCCAAGTGTTTGCCCTAGACTGGACAGACTTTGTATAGCCTTCTACAGAAACTTCTTGTATCCTATTATCATACATCACTGCTGTTCAAAACAACAGGTAAGTGATACTATCAAACATTTTCTTACAATTGGTAGAGCCTATAAATTATCTTCAACTAATCTAAATATCATCGAAATAGACATTTCATTTACTTCATTTCATTTCAAGGGTTTAGCCAGAAAAAAACAAAATAGGCCGTCCAAAATGAAAGCCAGTGAGCGTGGCACTGAGCCGATAGGCAGACGACGCCCATCTTTGGGAATCCCCAACGATTATTGGTACGAAAACAACGTACATTCAATCAATAAATGTTGCTTTTATCAAACTTAAATTTGATTTATCTTTAGAGTAATGTAACATTTGATAGATTTGAAGAATATAAAGAATTTGCTAAAGGTAGACCAGGCCCAATTAGGCTAGGCCAAGCTGATTAGGCAAAGCCGTCATGGTAAAAGTGACCATCCTAAATAATTGTAGCCGTCCGAAAGACGGCCGGATGTCTCGCTGGCTAAGCCTGTGTTTCATTTACTCGTTCATTCATCAATTACAGTAATCAACAATATAATAGACAAAAAAAAAACATTAAGATAAAATAAAATGATGAAAGGGACAACAACAAAAAAAACTCTGAAGAGCTTGTAAGTAAGTCAAGGTATCCGAAGTAAGAAAAAAAAAACATTAGGCCTAGAAAAAACAATTACAAATGCCAACAACAGCATGTAATATTAATAAATTGAATAAGGAAACACACTCAACACCACACACACAGATGCAAAAA